GAATAGCAAGTAACTGAAGTTGTTCTGCCTGAAAAAACATCTTGCCAAAAATTCCAGCTTTTGTAAAAGCTGACAGGGGCTCAGTCAAAAAGACAGATCAAGTCAAAGGAAATTTTCACACAGATCTGATGCACTTCAGAGTCTGAGCAAAAATTTCAGTTCAAGAGAATACTTTAAATTTGGCTTAATTTTCATAGAGTTCTGTTCTTGAAACTCTGGGCACATGACAACATACAGTCCTGCAGTTTTACTTAACAATTTCTTTAAAGGCAGTGTTTTGGGTTTTAAACTTCAAAGTGGAAAGTAATTTTTTTAATTTTTATTACCCAGTTACCAGCTCCCTCACAAACATGCATCCATACAGTTCCAGTATTTTTAAATGTATTATTGATTTATTAGAATCTATGCCATTAGCTATGCAAGTGACCTCCATGCAATAATTCAAGCTCTTCAGGCTTTTCTGTGAAACCAAATCTCCAAGTAAAGCTCCACCGAAAGTTCTGATTTAATACTACAGACCTTGTCATATCCTGCAGAAGAGCTCACCTGGCACAATGCAGGGCTAGTCTAGTTCCTGCTAACAAGAAAACCAGTGAGAACACTGAGGACACAGATCAAAGCAGCCAGGTTTTTACTGAACCTTCTCTAAAGCTGGTCCGAGGGAAACAGTCTACCAGTTCAGAGGTATTTTAGGGAAGAAGTCTAATCCTTATTTCCTGGTTTATTTCTTGCACCATCACTGGGAACTGCACCTCAGGTTCCAGGCTCTGAAGGGCAGAGCTCTATCTCTTCAGTTAAGGGACTAAAACAAGCAAGTGGAATATGCTCTTGCAAAGCCCGGCTTTAGCATGCTTGGCTAATGCTTGAATGCACTGCTAATGTTTGGAAGGAGAGAAAACAGATTTTCAGCACTGAGGAAATGAACTCAATAATATAAACCTAAAGGGATTTTTTTTTCCCTTAGACAGTTAAGCACTTTCGAGATGGCCATTGCAAGGTGCCCAGCTTAAAAACCCCAAGCTGATAGCATTGATTTCAGGTAAATGGAAGAGAAGGCTGCTGTTAAATTACAATTAATTTTAAAAGCTTCAGCTACAGGTATGGGAAGGCTCTGCAAACAGTAAATACTGGTATTACTTCAGTGTACAAGTCAAAATGCCAGGTTCAGAGGTATCTGTCTTCAGAGAGTTGAAGTACACACGGTGCCTGGTGCAACAGTTGTTTATGATATTCCAGCAGCACAGGCTGAGCTCTGTGCTGGCAGCCACTGTCTGCATTCATCTTAACAGTAACACCATGTAATTCAATGGCCTCTACCACAAGCTTTTCTGCATGCATTTGATCAGGACGTGAAACAATGGGTAGAAGGCTTTTCAGGCTAAATAAAAAGAAAAAGGGAGAAGCAGAATTCAGGATTTCTATGTCTGCAGTATTCCTATCATAGCGGTTAAGATGCCCTGGCCTTTTCAACTGGCTTCTTAACACTGATGTGACAATGAAAGCCTGCAAAGGAGGGAATCAGAAAAGCTTTATTCCTTGAGTTCACTGGCCGTATTCTTCTGTCTGGCACTGATGTAAATGAAGGGGATTGCCAGAGTAGGCAGATCCAAGCTATGAAGCAAGCACAGAAGCAGGGGACTGATTTTATTCCAAAGCATCTTCACTTCACTCCGCCCTTTTGCCTTCCTCCTCTGCTGATAGCCTTGGAGCAGCAGGGAGGGATGCAAGTGGAATTATCCCTGAAGTGGGACCACTGTCAGCTCCTGTGTCTGGCTGGGGAAGAAGGCAGCACCAGCAGCTTGCGGTGTCGGCTCCCCCCTGGGGGAGGGAGGACAAGGAGGGTGGCTGAGCCCTGAGCACACACACACTGATGCACGTGTGTTCCCAGTCCAGCAGTACAGCTTTATCAACTTCCTGGAGTCCACCCGGGCATCAGCAACAAACTAGCAAGTGCTGGGTCTTCTCCGAAGGCATGGCTAAACCTGGCATGCAGACCAAGGCATCTGCCCAGGTCCTACATGATCACCCATTCACACAGACTCTCCTAAATTACTACTAGCGTGGAACTGTTGAGCTTGACACAGAAGGTTTTGTTGGTTTACACCCCCAGATCAATGCAGCCTCTCTGACAGACCTTCTGCCTCTTCTGTAAAGGTTTTTAGATAAGCAGTAAACCCCACTCATTCTTTTCAAGATATTCTGAGGTGAAAAGTCCCAAAGGGATTTCCTTGACATCTCTTGCTCTTAGGATATTCTTGTTAATGCCAAGCAGTGTGTAAGTTACTCAGTTCCGATGGACTCAGCCAAGATTTGCATTTGATAGGAAGCACCTGAGACTTCAGGCAATGTAATACAGTCAGGGAAAATAAACAGTAAATGCATACACATCCTGGATCCAAAAAAGCATGAGCCACAGTCTGTGCAGAAGAGTACCAGAGACTTTGTAATGCACTGAGCATCACTTGCAACAGTGGAAAAACAGCAAGGCTGGGCCCAGCAAGCACCCGTTGCCTAGCAGGTCATGAAAAGAGACATGTGAGCCAAATTTGAGAAGCATATACCACATTTAATGATACTCTATACTGATTTCTATACTACGGTTATAATTCAATGTTCACTTCCCAAAGTTCTTTCTGCACCAGTACAAATAACTTGTCTTAATTCTTTTGTAAACTACAAGTGTAGCACATTCCCTTTCTCCTGCCTTTTGACAGGTAGTAATAAGGTTCCACTTTTGAGTGAGTCCATTTGAAAGCTTTATGCATTTTTACATACACACAGACACACCCCTCCACGTGTAATACATGTGCTCACAGACACATGGACAGCTATTTCATTTTAAGCTATTTTAAATTGTGATTTCTGCATCTGAATTCTTCATTTCCCAAACCCTTAGCATCTTTGTTAAACTGTTTTAGCCATTTGTTGGCTTTCTGTATAAGAGGGTTTCAATTTTCACCTATGTAAGTTGACAGAAATGGTTTGGATTAGTTAATTTAATCAAATTTCACAGGACTCATGAATAGTGTTGAGATGGAATCCAGTTTCTTGTAGAAGGAGACTTATGTTTATTAAAATAAATACTAACTGCACTCTGCTTCATCCCAAGTAAGGAAAAATAAAGTAAACTCTAGGAGGCTATCTTCATGAAGCCACCCTGGTACAGAGCTCTCAGTCACCACTGAAATACTGCTGTTTATCATGGTTATCAAGTGCAAATGGCAAAGCACAAACTGTTCCATCCCTATGCTTCAAAACAGCTCAAAAGGAATGAAAAAATGTTTTAAGAAAACTAGACTTAGGTACACACATTCTTTCATCTCACTGTGGGAGCTAATATTTGCCTTTATTACTTTCAGGGCATGATTCAAAAGTACTCAGCACTGATCTTGTTCTGATTCCTCTGGAGTCACCAGTAAAACTTCTGTTAGCTCAAAAAGATAGTATTGATGTTGGCTGCTTTTTTAAAAGAGCTTATTACCTTGGTGCTGCAGAAGCACTTGTCTTGAAGAACTGGGGAAGGTTAAAAGAAAGCCCAATAGCAGAACAAAACACAGTTACATCCACGTCTTTTTCTTGGTGAAGTAATGACTCATAAAAGGGTACAGGCATTCCCTAACCTTCAAAGCTTTCATCAGTTCTGCGTAGTACTGCTCATCACCAGTGATGAGGTTTTTTAATATGCAAATAAGGCTGCTGGCTGCTTTACAACTATGTCAGGTTTCCAGCCAGAAGGCAGAAGAGACAAGCCTCAGCTCCAGAGCTAGAAGATTGAGAAGCCACAGAGTTTGGCAGGCTCCTTAGAGGAAGCCATATCTCAAGTAGCTGTGCTCTGGTTTGGAGAGGAGCAGGAGAGATACACAACAGTAATTCAGCATTATATAAAATCTACTACACCACAAAGCACTTGGTTAACAAGTTGCTGCTTAGAAATTATGAGGACTCATCAAATGATCTTCACCCAGAGTCTAATTGTTTGGGTTTTTTTTTTCTCTGAATTCCTAACATACAAGTGAAGAACTGAAGTTGTTTCTTGTATGGAGCAGAAGCTAAAGAGGCAACCAGTCACTTAGACATCCCTGAGGGACAGCTTAAGATACAGTAAGCAATCCAGAGTGCTCAGAACTATATGTCTGCTGTGGTGTTACTTCTGACCTCACACATAAGCTTCTTCCTAGCTTACACTTGAACTTCCACATTGTTGTACCATGAAGGTGCCACTTAGAAGCGTGGCATTCATTTTGAATGCACTTCACTATATTACAGAATATTTTACCTAAACACTTCAGATCACTGTCACCACCATTCACTAGAATTCAATACTGCTGGAAAAATCATCAAAATACTACTGAAGGCGAGTAACTCTAGGGAAGGGAAATACAGAAATGGATGAAACAAATAATCAAAGTACATAAACAGTCCATGTTTGAAAATGAGAGCTTAAAATAAAGAGAACATACTAAACACAGAGAAATATTGATCATATTGCAAAGAGCATGACATCTGCAACTTCTCTTTCTTCACAGACACACACAAGACAACAGGATAACCATACCTTTAAGGTTTGTTTCTCATCTAAAGTCAGAATATGTGTGAGTTTGTACCACAATTACTCCAGCAGTTAATTATGATGCCATAGACATGATAATTGTGACTCAAAGACCAGCCTGAGCAGCAGGAAGAATTGCAAAGCAAACAATAATGTCTGTGCTTCTATGGCAGCACAGTTGCTTTAGCAATAAATAGAAAAAAGAATATGCAGAATAGAAAAAAAGAGATGAGAGAAAATTAAAAAAATGTGGGATGTTCACAAAAACCCTCTACAAAGTGTTTTCAAGATTACACTAAGTGTTCCTACAAGCAGTGTACAAACTTTGAAGAACACAGGGAAAAATTTACAAATACAATTCTCTATAACAGAGGATCAGGGAAAACTTGTGGCCATATTTACAGTTTCATGCCGAGCAGATGACAAGGCTAAGAATAAACCAAATACTCACATCCTGAGCTGCCATTCGTTGGAACCAAGGTAAAGTTGGAGGCCCAGGGGTTACGCACGATGTCCTGCCAATGAATGGTGTCTGCGAAGCAAAGAAACTTGTTCTGGCCAACATATACCCCTCCATTCAGTATTTCTGCAGAAAAGAACAAGAGAACATACTTCTAAGACTTTACACATACAGCTGATTAAATCTATTGCTGCTTTGCGTACTGGAGAGAGAGGGCATGGAATTTAAATGTGAAAATTCTCACTGTAAGCTCACTTATTACTCTGAAAACTGGAGGGCAAGTAGCTCACAGTATTTGTAAATAGGAACCATTTATTTCTCTGCAGAAGAAACCTTATGAAGACAGCCACACAGCTGCTGGATGAGTTACTGGGCTTACCTGCTGTTCCAGTGTAACCAAGTCTGGAACAGTGCTGTTACCTGTGGGTAACATAACCATCAAGACTTCACTGACTTTAAAAACACAAGCAACCAGCTATGCTGTATTTCATCAACATGTATGAACGCTTAAAACATACAATAAACTGATGTGCTCCACTGGGGTAGGAGTTTTTTGAGCCTGCAGAACATGAGAAAGGTCCAGTCATCAGATGTCTGGAAAAGCATGTTTTCTGATCAGACTGTGCTGCTGTAAAACCACAATCCAAAATATTCAATGACTCAATACCTATGATCCAAATATCAAACACTAGGATCCAAAACTAGCATTGACATGCCTTGCTGGAAGCTTGGGGCTGAAGGGAGATGGTTTCTGAGCAGATGAAAATTGGGTTTTTTTGTTGGTGGTGGTTTGGTTGTTTTCTTGGTTTTTTTGTTTTGTTTTTTTTTTTTTAATTTTAATGTTTATATCAGTTTGTTTAAAAAAAGTGCTTGTTGTCCTGTCTCTAAAGACATGATTTGTCAAACCTCAACATGAAAATTATCTTATAGTTGCTGGTGGTAGCACCAGGGCTTCCTCTGGAGCAATATCTTGGTGTTTTTATCCCTAAACTTGTTCTAACTCACAATTTCTCTACTTAACCTGGCTCTCCTATTTCCAAAGCAGCGGACAACCCATGTGACTTTCATATGCAGCTAAAACCTCCTGCACAGTTTAGTGTCAAGAGATTCAAGCTTCAGCAAAGAAATGCTGAAGGTTAGTCACTAATGGCGCCTTAGAATGACATTAAATGGTGCTATACAGCTGGGAGTGTCACACTTCTCACAGAGATGTTATAAGTAAACCTTGACTATGGTAGAAATTATTAAGGCCATCTGAAAGTCCTCATGTCCCAAGAAAATCTTTAAAAACTGTAGTGGTAATGCTAAAGTTGACAAACAACAAGGAAAGAATTACTGCTTGCTTTTTTTTAAATAAATTTCCGGATTTAAAGGCCACAGCATGTGGAGGAGGTAGCCCCCAAGAAAAGAATGTATTAAATAAAGGATCATCTGTAAATACATCCTTCCACCATATTAATCAGTTCAGAGTTATTACTATTTCTTAGAAACCTTTGGTTTAAAAGCTTGGCTTTTCATTGAATAGGGGCTTAAAAATGAGAACAGTAACAATAATCTGATACAGTAAAGTATAAAACCAGATTAGAGATACAGCAATGATCTGTCTGTATGATGTTCTTATGATCCCTGAAAAAGCCCATACAGCATCTGTTAGCAATTCTGATCTGGGGAAAAAGTGAGACTTAGAAGAACACTTGAAAACAAGACTAGTGATGATTTCTCTGTTTTGTCTCAGCTCTGCAGTATTACTTAATCCATTATGGCCCAGATTTTGATTAAAAATAGGTTCTAACAAGCCACGCAAAACTATAAAACTACATTCATAACTTCTGAAACACTTGCACATGATTTCAACTAGTGTCACCATCAGCTGGTACAACCAGACACCTGCCACTGGCATAATTTCTGGTTTTTAGAACATTCACTCATGACAATACCTATTAAATTTTCTTTTCTGCCAGGAACTCAATGCATTTTTGTATAGCAGGCAGCATCTCACTCTAAAAGTAATTCTGATAGTTTCGATTTATGAAGAAGGACTTTTTTCAGCATAAGAGTAACCATAAAGTGTCCCCTCTATACTGTAAGAAAAGCAGACAGCTCTCCCTGTGATTTGCTAAAAGCAAACATGGAAAACTCTGACTTCTCTCATCATGGAATAATAAGTGTCCTTGCTGCCCTTCCCCAAAACCGTGATGCAGTATCTTTATTTGCCCTGAACTTTAGCATTTCTCACAGGTGACAGGATGGAAGTTTACAGGTCTCTTCATGTGGTGAGGTACTAATAAACTTGAGAGACATGAAAGATGGTCTCTTACAGATACAAAATAACCCTGAGTTGAAAATTTAGTACAATCTCTAAAGTACTTGTGCTTGAGTCTTCCTGTTCTGTGGCATCCAGATTCAAACCTGCTATCCTGCTTTTCTTTATGCTGAGTCCTCGGCTTGTGTAAATCAGCACAGATGCTTTGGCTTCACTGACTTAAACTGAAATGTATTTCTCACTTCTCTGCCCTCTCTGAGCAAGAACAATGCCTAGAAAGACCTAATAAACCCTGTTACATGTCAAGCAAATGAAGCACAAATGTAATCAATATACAATAGAGCTACTGTGTAATGAACTCATCATCATAAAGTCATCAACTCATTTTAATTTAGAGTGCTGAAAGTGAGAGATAAAGTTAAACAACAACCAGGAGGAGAAAGGCAGGCATCTCTGCCTGTGCAGATGAGCTAGCAGAGGAAGCCAGGCAAAAAGAGGTTTCTTCTCCTGTGTGCGACACCTGAGGTGCCTCTCTGCTGAACTCTTTCTGAGGCTGGAGCAGAAAAGAGGAATGACAAGTCCCCTAGTGGATGTTGTGATTTCTGCTGCGAAGGAAGAAGCTAGTTCCTGCCAAAGAAGCACTAGAAAGGACTGCTCACAGCGAAGCGTATCTTAAATAGCATTTTGGGAAGAGTACTTCTGTCTTCTAAGACAATTTCTTGTGATATTGGAAGATTGCTAGTCCAAGTACAACGCTGCTGCCTGAGACAGGAGGCAGAGTGCCTGGCTCCATCAACTGCTGCCCAAAACACCCACTGTGCTGCACTGGCAGCAAATGTTACCTACCCTCGGGCTTCGTCTCAGCTCAGGGACACAGAGCTACAAGAGGGGATTTTGAAGGACACATGTCCTGCTAGCTTTCATTGGGAAAACAGTCCCTACAGGTGTCAGACAATTTTGGATGCCTTCATGTAAGGTACTGATGGCCACAATCTCCCACTTTGGCACCAGGGCTGCAGCAAAGGACTAGCTCCAAGGTCTTTTGCCACTTGATTCTGAAGCAAATGAAAAATCTTAGCATCTTCCTTATTAGCGCTACTTTACTGGCTTAAAAGCAGTATAATTCTGTAACCAAAGTTATATGAAAATAAAATAGAAAGTGCACTCACCACTGACTTCTGTCATTATTTTGCTTATTGCTGCCCAATCATAGAATCGTTTAGGCTGGAAAAGACCTTTAATATCAGCAAGTCCAACTTATAGCTGTGTATTATTAAAATTCTATTAAATGGTTATTTATTCAGGAAGCTAAATCAGAAATGTATTATCTGCTATTTGCTTGCTTCCATTAGCCCAGTGATGAAGCAGAACCACCATCAGGTAACTTGGGTAACCTACTATAAAATAGTTACAATACTAAGAGAAGAAAGGGAAACACAGAGGTTCCTGGCAGCCGAGAAACACAAGTATCAGACACTTTCCATAAAGTGCCACAGAACAGAACAGAGAGGTAAATCACACACCATTTACACTTGGTCTTCCAAGTTTAAAAAGGATTCATAACATCTGGTCTCATAGAACGAGTTTGCCTGGAGTCAGTGGAAATGCTTTAACAGCCACCAGCAGCTTAAGATCAGTAAAGAAGGGATGCTAGCTCTGCAAGCGTGTTGTCTGTTTAGACTATCGATTGAAAGAATGCTTCATCCACCTGTTTAAAGGATATTTTCTTCAGCTGACTTTTTCTTGTGTACAGTGTAATCCCTCACGGTTGGTTATCTCACTTCTAATGTGGATTAAATTGGCAAAACATGTTCACTTTCTGCAACGTATCCTGAAGCGCACGTAACTTGTGTGTTGATATGCAGTGGAGGCTGTACGTGCCTATTTTAGCAGTAGAAACCAGTTCTAAAAATGTTATAAAATTGCTAGTGCTATTAAAGGTTGTAAATTAAAAGCTCTTCTCTGGTGCTAAGAAGCCAGCTGGCATGATGAACTGGAAGAAGGCGTAGTAAGAAGGAAAAGAACTAGCTCTAAAGTGGGCAGAAAAAGTGGAAGGAGTTAATTAGGAAAAGCCACTGAGCATGTTCACTGTAACCACTTCAAAAGCAAACCAGAAGGTATCTTACACATCCCAAGCTGGCTGTTGGCTTAGGAAACAGCTGTCTTCTACACCACACCACACACAGGTATACTGGGCACATACCTATTGTCTAATGCAGGTTGATGCCACCCCATTTCCAAGGTCAGCCTCCGTTAGAGCTGAAACATCTTTGCGCGCTGACAGCGCTGCACCTTCGCCATCGCCCCCAGGCGACGGGGATCTGCTGTCACACGCTGCATCGCTCCCAAACCCTCTCCTACTTCACCAGAGATGCTGAATGCATTACCTGAAAACGGCTTTGCCCTGGAAATTTCATGCCAAACCAAGTCTTTTGATCTCTTAGCACAGCTGATTGCTGATGACCCACTGGGAAAGCACTTCAGGTCCATCATTAATAAGCTATGTCTTAAAGGGTAATGAGAACTGGGTGCTTTAGGAGACAATAGCTCATCCATCATCAATCAAGATCTGAAGTTTTTATACAGATGATTTAAGAAGAGCTGGACTGTGTAAAATTGAAATGTCACATTTGTATTGGGAGATGGGGGGAGCTTGGTAATGAAAATGAGAGTTTTAACCTTCTCCATTTCAGCTCAATGACCATACTCTAAAGCTCATGGATGTGGAATCTGTGTACCAGCTAGAAGCTCCAGCCAGCCTTCGATCTAAATTATACAATTTCAAGTAAAGATTATTTGGGTCATTAGCTAGAAGTCAGTTTCAAGGCTAGATGGTAACAGCAAGATACTCTTTACTTCTATC